TTGTAACGCTTTCTTGCCACCACAAATTTGTAGGCCAAATATCGATGTGGACAGGGTGTATTGCCTGATTTGCTACCACGTGACCCAAAATAGCCAATAAAATCGCGCGAAAATTATTCAATGGATTATAAGGATTGTAATGGATTATATTCCTTGACTTTCAAGGAAAGATTTTAAAGATTACCTTGTTTCCAATGGAATGGTCCAATTCTCTGGGGCGGTTTGAGTTTAAAGGCATAAATGCAAGTATTGTTCTAACCGTATTTGACGTCATAACTTGGGCAGAGGGCTGTGTTCTATGACAAGTGGTTTGGAAATGTTAAAGGCTCAGGTATGAGTTAAGGGGTTTGTTCAAAACTAACAACAACCAACAACCACACAATTATTTCGTCATGTTCCTTGTGACAAACTCTTTTATTAAAAGCTGTCAAAATCTATATACTGGTAAAAACAAATATTCAAGCTTGTTAAAAATATGTTCTTGGTGCAGTATTGAGGCATTGACATAATATTCCTGGTTAAATGTCCAGTTAAACCATAAATAAAATAAAAACCAGAGAAGATGACAGTATCAAACAATCTTACACAAATAACTGTACTATAACACCACAAGGTAGTTATAGACATACAAAAAGATGCAACAGCACAAAATGGTACATGAATGGCACAGAGCAATAACACTCCCGCCGAATAAGCATCATGACCCATTCTGACAAGAGCCAGAACTGTACATCCCTCTAATCAGAGGCATCCAACGAGAATATAGTTCAAAACCATTTAAACATAGCATTGTTGAACGTATTTTAGTATTCAAACGGTAGATATAGGCATATTTTTATCCCCTAAAAATTTTTCATCTGTTCGGATTTCCAACCTGAAAGTCCAGTGGTCCGAAAATTATAGGGACCAAAACTTACCTTTGCGAAAATTTCAGCCAGAAAATGGGATCCCGAAAATTCTAGGTGACCTTTTTAGGGTAAAAATCCGTTAAAAATGGGCAATTATACCAGTTTTTAGATGTTCGAAAATCCTTGAAGGGAGCAAAGCAGGGGCGGATCCAGGATTTTTTTTAGGACGGGGTGCACTCGTCTCTTGCTCTACTTCAACACCAATAAACCACATAGTTTTTCTTTTTTTGCAGTATACCAGTTGTATTAGAAAACCGCAGGTCATCTCAGGGGGGGGGGGGGGGGGCGCACCCCCCGCCTTCCCCCCCACCACCCCCCCCCCACAATGTTCCCACACAAACACAGTCCCTTTTTCG